GAGGTGATTTTAAAGTGGAACACTGGTTATAAGCTCTCCCAGATCTGCTTTGAATGGCTTTCTGATTTTAGCAGGAGTTTCTGAACAGTGTACGTTCAAATCACCTATGATAAGGATGTGAGTGTTTTCGCTTTAGACTGCATCTTAAATCAATCGCAACTTAGCAGTCTATTTCCGGTGTAGAGTTTGAGTGGCGGTATACCGTAGCTATAATGCAGGTGTCTGTCATGTAATTGCAGCGGGCACCAAAGAGAATCGGTAAATTGTAAGTGTAAATCCACAACGGCCTCGCACTCCAGGTCGCTTCGGTAATACAGAATTACCGCTCTTCGTTTCGTAAACCTGTCGTTTCCTATTGTGACATGCCTGGCAGAGAGACTTCAGCGTCTCTCTCCAGTGTGCAACCATGTCACCGTGACACCGATAATATTGCATGGTTTCGAAATTTGGTGATCCTTCAGTTCGGCCAGCTTAATAAAAAAGCCTTGAGCATTTGTATAAAGGCAGGATAGTTTCTCAGTCTCTGGGAGTCAATATGGAGCAAAGGAGTCAAGTGTGGTAGAATACCGACGGATGCGAAGTCGGCTGTTATTCGTTTTTTTGATGGGATGTCGATGACACGTCGTTCGCAAACTGATTTGGCCAAGTTACGTCCCATTCCTCGCCCGGACATACCGCAGGATCACGTGACCGAGCGATAAAGTGATGCTCCTGCGTAATCGCTGGCAGGATTGCTTTTTCAAGTAGGCTCATGTCTGGTTTTCGCAAAGATTCAGCAGCTTTTAGCCGAAGTTCAGATGGAAGGCTTTTACAATGTCTCCGCCAATGTTCTAACACTTCCGTTGCTGTCTGCTCTGACTAAACCAGTTTTAGGATTCTTGGTCCGCTTCCTCTATAATTAGGTGAGAGAGGTAGCCTTTTGGACGTTCGCGACACGTTATCCAAGGAATCATCATCATTATACCCGTCAGCTAGAGGTGGGAATCACCTCACGAATGAACGGCCACTGTTCCAAATCGTGCTTACCGGCCTCATGACTGTCGTAGAAAGGAAGTTCTGGCACGCCATAAATAAAGATTATGCTTACACAATCCAGGCACAGCAGCTCTAGTAAACCCGTCCGCCGAAGACTATCGGCATGCCATGTCATTAAAATGGGCGGAGGATTGGGAATAGTGCAAATAATCTCGGTATCCAAATGACAGGGCAGTTTAGTGAATATCTTTTTCACTTAGGAATAAGCAATCCGATGAGTGCAGCAGGATAGAGTACGACGGTAAAATGTCCAACAGTGGGCATCGTACTGATGCTTGGAGGCATGCGAACGGATAAATTCGTGAGTTGTGGCATGCCATGCGACTAGCGGAGCGATATTTGACTTAGAGGGATAGGGGAGTTCTGAGGATTATATATACATATACATATATATATATGTTCGGGGCAATAAGGAACATTGTTAACCTGAAGGGGAACTGCGAGCATTCGGTTGGATTTAGAATTAATATAGCCGAGTTTGCTGTTCATTACTTGCGTACTCCATCTCCAGTAACTGTAGCATGAAAGATCTGATCGCCTACAGCCAATTCCTCAACTCGGTTCATCTATCCGTCAATAAAACCCAAATAGTGTCCCCAGCTGTTACCGCTATTATGGAGGATAAACCTTACTGATAGAATCTTGTATTGGTGCATCTTAAGCCTAAATAATAGGGTTCCTCAAACAGGCGGTGATAAGTGAACTATTGTGCGAATTGGAACAATAGTTTTATACCGGTAAAAATGCTAATGCTTACCAGGTTCCCTAGAATGGCTATGGTGAAACTACAAAGTATGAAAATTGTTAACAAAATTGGGTTTACACCAATGACCTCACTGAAGTATACGTAGTATAGACTATAAATCCAAGGTAAATCCATAACAAATGACGGCAAATGGGATGTTGGTAAAAATCGTGTCTCCTTCTGGTGCACACATAGAGGAGGTGAAAAACGTAGCACGAAATCTGTGCTGTGACCGCCAGTGAAATCGCTTACAGACACTTGTGTTTATCCATGAGTAATGGGTCATGTAAGCTAGTGCAGCGAAATAAGTGCACGGTCAACTTGGGCTTTGAAATCTGCCAGCGTGGGAGCACATATGACAGAGTCCGATAGGGCGCTTCACGTACGGCAAACGCGTACGGAAAAGAAATTCCGGCGACATTCTAGAAGACGGTGCTGTTCTTCCAGTTTGAGATGGTGACCTCTCAAACTGCTGTTGTGACTGAGCTTTAGTAAAAAGCGGTACTTGTGGTTGGGATCTCTCAAAATTTGGTACGCCAAAATGTGGCCCCAGTGCAATCGCCGATACCGTCCGCTGAGGACTCCGAGCACTTGTAGCCTTCGTTCATACGGCAAATTATACAGACCCTTGACATTCTTGGTTGCCCGGCGTTGGGCTATCTCCAAGGCGGTGAGATCTCTCCACAGCCATGGCTGCCAGACATTTGTTGCGTATTCCACATATGGCCTCATGTATGAGCCGAGAAGTTGTGGAAAATTCGAAGGGTCGAACCGTCCAAATGCACGCTTCAAGTGATCCACATGTTGGATGCTCCTCCTAGACGCCGTTTCAGCCTGCTTCGAACATCCTAGGTCGACCTGGACAAAAACCAGATCCTTCTCGCCAGAAGACGTTTGAAGCTCCTGGTTGCCGAGTTTGTAGGAGTGCAGTAGGTGTAGCACTCTACATTTGTCCACATTGAATCTAAGTAGATTCTGGGTTGACAACGCGTATACCCTATCCAGATTAGCTTGAAGTACTGTGATATCGTCCGGTGTTTTGCTCGCCCTCCACATCTTGATGTCATCGGCATAAATAAAGCAGTTCTAGATTATGATGAGTCTGATGACGTATAGTAACTACATCACACGCGTCATAAGCTTGAAGTGCCTTCTTTATGTCGATGATATCAAGCTGTGGAGGGCGATCAAAACACTACATGATGATGATCAACGCGAAGAAACTTTCATCCCACATCATGGTCACCTCCTCCATGACAACATACTTAGACTCGTAGTGCGAAAATGCAGTCAAGCAAGTGGCGATTAGTATTTGACAGTTGATAATACGGTGGTTCCTTCACTTTATCATGTACTCATGAGAATCACAGTTGGTCGGCAGTCGTGAATGAGATGGTAAACAGAGAGTTTCTTAATAACACAAGTCACATTAGGCCAAGAATGCGCCTCTACGCCCCCATGACGGTTGAATTTTCGGCCGTAACACATACTATCGACATGATAAAATAGTAATGCGTTAGCACAGAACGACAAAAGAACAATCTATATGAAAAGCATGAACTCACTGTCAAAATTTATCCGTCAGTTCATGGATAATAGCGCTTTGTTCAAGTAGTAATATGGCTAGGTACGGAATGCCTGACGAACCATACTCCTACGTGCATGCATATATTTCTCCGTACTTCTGTCTTGTCGACATAGTAGATCTACAGTCAGATAACGCATGGTGCTGAGAGTGGCTATTGCCACGAGTAGGTTGACGCTGAGTTTTGGGTAGACACAATTGTTCGCGCCAATTTCGAGTTTGGTATACTGCTGCCCGTAGAATGGAGGTAACGAGCTTGTTTCGTAATCTTGCGGCGCTGGTTCGAATCCGCGTAGGGGTGGCCGTTCTCGCGGTATACTCAGCCTGCATGCGACTGGTGGTAGTCGCATTGCAGCGAAGCGCCGTTACGGCGTACATTTGACACATTATTATTATTATGCAGCTGCACGGAGACAAGCGCTTCAGTAAACTGTCAATTATCTTAACATGTTTACAAAATAGTCCTGGAAAATTCAAAAGAGAGCAGATGACCAAGTATTGTAGGATACATGCAGCATTAGGACCATGTGTGCTCTTAGCCTTTATTAACAATCTAGCTAGGGTACTCCAGTCGAACTTCCTACTAGTTGCAAGCGATGTCAAGATCTGCAATGACCTCACTGCAGAGCCAATACATGGTCATCCGAGAAGAAACTCCACTTCTACATGGCGAAATGCAACCTTTTGAGCATACGCCATCGGTGCACCCAGGAATATTGACTCAGGAAACAGCAACATGCTATACAGGAAAGCGATCTCGGAGTAATTAGCTGCTCGAAATACGCCGAAGAGATTTGGAGAATAGCTTATCAGCACATTGGCCTATTACGGAGCACTTACCGGAAAACCCGGGCCTTCTATCTTTCTACAAATGCTGAACACCTATGTGAGGCTTCGTGTGGAATATGCTATCCAAGTCCGGCCTCCCTGGCGTTTACACGATGTTCATGTGCTTGAAGCCCCACAAGGTAGAGCGACCAAGGTCGTTTGGGGATTGTTTAACTCCCCTACTAACTCATGCTACAAGCTATAGTTTTGTACAGCGATGAATATCGGTGACTGTGAGACACTTCAGCATGGTGAACCCCTATCACGTCTGTCACGATCTGTTGCAACCTAGCCACAATACTAAGATGAGAGCCAACCAACTTAAACTGGTCAGACACTACAGTCGACTTGATTAGCTATAAAACCTTCTCTCCCTTCGGGTGTACCGATCATGGAAAGCTCTTCCAACACGTCATTTTGCCCCTATAGTAACGTTTTTCAAAAGACGCCTTTACGAGATGTCACCGTGTTTGAATTAAGTGACGTAGTCCATTTCAGTCGGAGGACGGAACCACACGAACTAAACAGGGCGCCCACCAGCCCTCTCTGTGACGTACCGGTCAGGAAACCTGTATCCATGTTCATATGACTAGCTTGGTGAATCATTTAATACATGAGTTTAACTCTCCTCCCCTAATTTTTCTACGTTCGGTTTTGTAATACTCACTGTGGTCATCTTATTAGACTTGTCATGCACCTGCTTTCTTACCCGTTATAAATCATTTATTGTTGATATACTTCGTAACTCCATGGAGCATATTCGTAAAGAGTATGCGACGTGATTCACAAATTCAAAATCTATTTCAGCGCGGGTCACGCAACTGAAGCAAGGTGACACTGAGAGACAGACACAGCAGCGTCTACAAATTTCGCGTCTTCAGCGGGACCTACGTGAAGTGAAAGACCGTGCGGAAGCATTGGAGCTCCAAGTCCCCATCATGAGACGTCGATTGATCGAAGCACAAGAGAATCAAACGCAGCCCTTCGTACCAGCCAGTCAGACACCCGTGACACTGGCCGCATCGGAGAAGGAACGCGTGAGGTTGGCGAAACAGCTGAGGCAGACGAAGGAAGAATCCGATAAGCTGCGCGAAGAGATAATCTTGCTGAAGGCTCGGCAGTTGGAGTGCAGCCAAGAGAAGGTGAGTCTCTTTAGATTGTCACTGGGGTTGAGTAGACAAGGCGACTAACACAAAACTTAGGGGTGGCTGGAATTCAAACAACTAGATTGTACACCTTAAAATTTTGACCTGAGACTGGCCTCAGATGAAGCCAGAGACCAGTTAACAAGTCGGTGTAATACCACAAATTATGGTAAGACGATCTAAAACCAATAGAATTAAGTAGAAGGGGTCGACCCAATGAGAGCATCTGAGTGAATAAATAGACATGCAGAACTGGGAGACAGAATGCACAGAGCCGCGGGTTATTGGGTTGCACTACTTAAGTCACTTTTCTACCCATTATCGTGATCGGTCCCTAGGATTATAGGAGTCTCATTGACACACACATAACGAGCGGTAGCACGAAACCTCATCCACAAATCAGTAGAATTGAAACTGTAGTTCGATATATCCTACTCTTGATAACTATGTATGACCATCGCGATATGTAGCTAAGCGTCTGAGACGCTGCAGTGACCTCCGACTTGCGCGCAACTCGTCTCGGAGAAGGGGCTGGGCCTGTGATGAACAATCAGCCGGAGTGGATGAACCGATCAGCCAGTTTAAACTGTCCCTCGGTACTGACACGTCGCATTTGAAAGAGATGGAACGAATACCGAAACGCCAAGCACTCTGAATCTGTTCATTTCGTGAACACGCACAAAGGTGTGATCTGTTAAAGTTTTCAGCCAGTCAGTTAACACAACATAAATCTTCTAGATTATAACCACACGAGTCCCATCCTCTATGGCGAACTCAAGCTGAGGCTGCGCACGGAAATAACGGTGACCCTGACAAAAAGCACTGTTCAGTAGCGTCGCATGTGGTCGGCTGAATCAATAGCGTGTGTCACAAGTCATATGATTGGCCTGTAGTCAATAGATCGTATCAAGGCAACCTTCGTCAGTTGTACCCCATAGTGAGGCAGGGAGCCGTCCGATTAGGATGGTTGCCACCAGTCTCTAGGGAATTGCACTGACGGTGGTGGACCGGCATGTCACGTGGAGCCGAAGAGTCCGCTTGAACTAATCGTTCTAGAATCACTGCTATCCTTTAGTAAATGTAAACAAAGGTGTGGTGGGCACAGCATATAGTGTACTGTGGAACCCGTATGCACTGACATCTAGACTGAGAGTAGATCAGACAGGGCAGAGACCTCTGGGATCTCATGTTTCCCGTGGCAAATATGTTCAGTGAATAGCCAGAATATGCCAAATGGCGGACTATGATGTCGAAACAGCAAAATCCAGTTGTTCCGATGTATGGAAATGCGCTATTTATGGAAAAGGTAAAAAACATAAATGAAAACCCATTATTTTAGCAATTCACCGCTTATCTGCGATCGTGCATTGATTTCGAAGACTCCGGAACCTTCCATTTCTTCCCGTGATCGCCAGCATACGGAGTTTTGGCAGAGGCTGCTAATTTTACCAGTTGTCCTTCGTTTTCTAGAAGCCGAAGGTCATTGAGCCTCCCCCCTATATATTTGTCGTAGATCTGCAATAGTTTAACAGCGTTTTAGCGGCCTTTTTGGCTAGGTTTGGCATCGTTTTTGTTAACACGTTTTTCGCGGTCAAGATCGTTGGACTTTTGATTTTTTTTCGGCTAGGCTAGGTAATGTGGTAACCATGTGAGCAAGATCGATTGGCTCAAGCTCATTGGTTGGCTTGCTGACTCATTACTATTGGTTGTGTGCGTCTGTCGCTTGACTCTCCGTTTAACAGGGGATTGACTCAGATGTACATGGTTAAATTTGCGAGATACATTTTACCTTTCCTACGGCTTTCTTGATACCACATTGTGGCGTCGCGGAGGCAAAAATGAACCTTTCCATCCAACCCCCATCTCCATTTTGGACTGATTGCGGCAGCAGACCGACATCGGATGCCTGGTTCCGTTGGAAAACATCCTTCCTAAACTACTTGGATTTAATCAGCGATCTCCCTACTGCTCTTACTGAGGATAAAAGATTGAAGCTGCTTCGTCATTTACTCGGAGATGAGGGACAGCGACAATTCGATGATTTGGGTCTCCAAGGATGCAAATCGGTTATGGACGCCTTCAATGCTCTCGATCGGGCATGGAGTTACCAAATGAACGTGTTTACCGCGCGATATATTTTCTCCCGAATACACCAAGAAGCAGGCGAACCCTTGAATGATTTCATTGCTCGGCTGAGTCGTGCAGTACGACCGTGTGCCTCCTCGTCTATTCCACAGAAAAAGATTGAAGGCTGTATGCTCACTCAGCAACTGATCACTGGAATCGCTGACAATCGCATACGTGAGGGGCTATTGCAGGAAGATGCTTGCACACTAACGTGGGATCGAGCTTGCGAATTAGCCCGAGTAAAGACAGAAATTTCATTGCAATCGAAGCAGTTTTGTTCCACCAGCTTAGCTGAAGTGGCGAGAGTACAATCTTTCCGGCAACGTCCGACAGACAAACTTTCTTGCTATCGTTGTGGGAGCACGTCTCACAAAGCTAATTTTGCCGGTTGTCCCGCACGCAGCCTCAAATGTAAAAACTGTGGTAAAATTGGTCACTATGCCCGCTGTTGTCGATCGCAGGCTGTCGCACTCATTAAAGATGATGATACACCGGAATGCCATGTTACCGATCCAACTCAAGACAATATCTATTCAATCACCGCTGACTCCATACCTTCAGGTTGTGTAACCATATCCGTTGTTGAACCAAAGTTTCCAGCTGCTGACATTCGTACTGTATTGTTCCTTACTGTTAAAGGTGTTGTTCCATTGGAAATGGAACTTGATTCTGCTTCTCCAGTTAATATCGTGCCTTTCCAATTTTATGAACGCTACCTATCACAGCATACTTTACACCCCACCTCACATTCATTCTGGAGTTATAGTGGGAACACACTAACCATATTGGGATTTATTATCGTGCCTTTGCAGTTGCATTCTGTGATTGCCGATGTCGCAGTGTATATTTCTTCGGACAACAGACGACCCTTGCTTGGGAGGAATGCTATGGTGGCTTTGCATATTGTACCATCATTCGACCGCATGCTTATCTCTTCCGTCAGCGTAGCACACTGGGAGGAACATTATCCGCAGCTCTTCCAGAAGTCCATCGGCCGTATTCCATGTGGTGTGCATCGAATTCAGCTGAAACCGAATGCGCAACCGATCGCCATTGGTCAACCTCGACCCATTCCGCTAGCGAAACGTGAAGCGGTCGCTGCAGCCCTGCAAGCGATGCTAGCAAATAATTTGATTGAACCCATCGATTGCTCTGAGTGGGTGCATCCAATGGTTAGTGTCATGAAAAAAGACGGTACTGTCCGGATATGCAACGATTTGCAGGCGCTGAACAAACAGATCGTCGTAGAACGCTTTGTTTTACCATCTAATGATGAACTCACTGTACGTTTAGCTGGTGCAACTGTTTTTTCCAAGCTAGATTTGAAAAGTGCGTTTTTCCATATGCCATTGGCCGATGATTCCAAACACCTAACTGCCTTCCTCGCTCCTGATGGTCTATTTCAGTACAAAGTCTTACCCATGGGTTTGAGTTCCGCGCCCGCCGCCTGGCAAAAGTTCATGACTCACGCCCTGGCAGGTATCGATGGGCACGTTGCCTACATGGATGATATTTGTGTTTTCGGCCGCTCACAGGAAGAACATGATGAAAGGCTACACAAAGTGCTCCAGCGCCTCAGTGATCTCAATTTGCGTCTGAACGCAGAAAAATGTCTCTTTAATGCACCAGAAATTCAGTTTTTGGGACACGTCATTTCACGCAGTGGCATTCGACCAAGTGATGAAAATATCAGGGCCATCTCTGAAGCGCCAACACCCAAAAATTTGACAGAACTAAAGTCCTTTTTAGGAATGTGCTCTTACAACCTGCGCTATCTGCCGGATTTTGCGACTGTGGCAGATCCATTACGACAGTTAACAAAGAAAGGATCGTCGTTCGTTTGGGGCAGCAATCATCAAAATGCCTTTGATGAACTGAAAAGGAGAGTTGCGTCTGCTCCCTTAGTTGCAATTTTTGATGAATCTTGCCGCACCTTTGTGTCCACTGACGCGTCTGATGTCGGTCTCGGAGCTGTCCTCTCACAAATACAGAACGGAGAGGAGAAAGTTATTGCCTACGCATCACGAAAGCTATCAGATTTCGAACGTCATTATTCAGTTGGGGAAAAAGAAGCTCTTGCATGTGTGTGGGCCTGTGAAAGGTGGCATTTATTTCTGTTCGGTCGTCGTTTTATTCTGCGTACTGATCATTCAGCCCTAACAGCTCTTCTCAGCAATGGATCTAAAGGATCTCGCCCAATGCGAATCGATCGCTGGTAGGCCAGGCTCCTTAACTACGATTTTGAAATTGTGTACCGGCCAGGTTTGCAAAATCCGAACGCTGACGGCCTATCTCGCTTACCCGTGGGGTTGGAGGATGAAAAAGAGAGACTCAGAGAGGCGGTACTAGTTTCCAGTCTCGGAGCTAACCTGTCTGCCTTGACGAGCGAGGAACTACGAAGGGAAAATACTAACGATTCTTTACTGCATGAGATTATTGAATATGTGCAGCAGGGCTGGCCCAAGAATAACAAAATCCCCGGTGAGTTCATTCCGTATTATGCAATTCGACATGAACTATCAGTGGTAGACGGTTGCCTGATGCGCGGTTCGGTGTTTGTAGCTCCGTCCCAGTTGATAGCCAAGATAATAGCTTGCGCACATGAGGGACATCCAGGTATAGTTCGGACCAAAAATCGAGTAAGACTCTATTTCTGGTGGCCACGAATGGCATCTAGCATTGAGACATTTGTGGTCAATTGCAATGCTTGCCGATTAGCGGACAAAAGTTCTTTGCCCATTAAAGCCCCGACACAGCCAATTGCTTACCCGATGAAACCATGGACCAAAATCGCCATTGATATTATGGGCCCTTTCGCTACTGCTCCTACGAATAAGCGAAATCTACTTGTTGCTACATGTTTTTACAGT